TGTGGAGCTGCCTTTGAAAAGTGTTTGGAACTTACAGCTAGCTTCAAATTCAGAACCCAGACAGCAGTATGTTAGGATGCCTGTTAGAATCTATATAACATCAGCCTTGAAACAACCATACTGGCTTCCGTGCTATGTACCAGCTTAATTCAAGGTTCTGACATTGACCTGTAAAGCCTTACTTGCATGACTTGGGGTCAGGATAGCTGAAAGACTTCTGTTCTCAGAGTCTGACATCCTCAACACAGGCCCCATTGCATGTCCCTCTACCTCGCAAAGTTAGGTTGATAGGCAGGCAAGACAGGGCTTTTTCTGTAGCAACAACTCTATGAAGGAACTGTCCCCCACACAAGGGACAATAGGCTGGCTCCATCATGGTGGATCTTCCAGTGAGGGACCATGAATCGGTGGTGATGATGGCTCATATGAACAACAATATCTCCAGATAATATAAGGCTCTCTCTCTCTCTCTCTCTTTCTGCATGTGTGTGTGTGAAAACAGTGACAAACAATGACAAACTCCCTGACTTTCCACCCTTTTGTGTACCCTTCTGAAAGCTGGTTTCTTCTTGCTGCAGTTTGTTGTATAAGCAGAGCTGAACGCTACGACACTTCCCATGAAGTTCATTTCTACAAGTTACAGCATGCCATGTGGAAGCTTTTATTAAATTCAATTATTCAAAAAGACTTCTAGTTTATGAATTGTGGTCTATTGTGGTTCTGTAGCCACGATTCAAAAGAACAGAAAATGGCCTGAAATTGAATCTGCATAACAATTTGCCAGCAGGGAGAAGGATGCAAAGCGTTACATAGCAAAAGGCAGCCTGATTGTTGACAACACCAACGGCAGCAGTCGAGATGGTCTGCATTACCCTTGTTGAAAAATAAGCCCTGACAATTGCTTTGTGTTTGGTTAACTGATAAAAATAGGAGTCAGCTTCTACTACAGCAGGGGTCCCCAACCTTTTCTGAACGACGGACCGGTTGGGGTTGCAGAGTCTATGCACGGGTGGACGGGGTGTGTGCAGGTGGGCAGGGGCACCCATGCGTGAATGCATGGATAGGTAGAGCACCTGTGCGTGCATGCACAGGTGCGGGGGCACCTGTATGCGGGTGTGCAAGGCACCCGTCCATACGTGGGTGGGCAGGACACCTGTGTGTACATGGGGTGTACATGGGTGGGTGGGCAGGGCACCTGTGTGTACGTGGGGGTGTCCATGCATGTGTCCGTGTGTGGGAGTAGTACATACCGGGGAGGGGGTGAGATCTATCTCCATATCCTGGTCCTGCCAAGGCCATGGCCCGGTCCCGGTCTGTGGACCGGGAGTTGGAGACCCCAGGTCTACAGGATATCCGGTTCTGCTCATGACCATTCACAAAATGATACCAAGCAAGGGAAAACACCAGAAACTGACTTCTTTTTCCATCAGTTAATCACTTCTCACTCAAATACAAAGCAATTGTCAGGGCTGTTTTTCAACAAGTGTGAATAGTAGTACTGTGAATAGTTGAGGGGGACACGAATCTGCCTGATGCTTCTCTTTCTCATCTGTCCTGTTTCCTGCTGGTGGTGATCATGATTTTAATTTATATAATACTGTTGCTGAGCATGTGTGATGCAGCTCTTGCTGATACGAAGGGCCTGTCTGCTGCATAAGTCGGACGCTTTTGGTCTCACGGATGCAGCTGTTGGGATGCCTGCTTTTTGAAGAGGTGATTCTCTCTTGCCCTGCCCCTGCTTTTTTGCAGTAGTTTTTGTAAGGCTCAATTTGTCCTGGCACCAGAGATACACCTAGGAAAACTGAGATGAAAATACTGATACCCAAAGGATCCCAAAATGAAAACAGGAGCCCCCAAAACTCATCAAATCAAAAGCGAACAAAAAAAATTCCAGCTAAACAAACTAGTAGCTGCCTGAAGCTATAAAGAAGCACAATTTGTGATTGATTGATTGATTGATTGATTGATTGATTGATTGATTGATTGATTGAAAATATTATATATTTAATATTTAAATATCACCATTCCTCATCACAGGGCATGCCTTAGCTTCCCACTGTCTGCCTTTGTAGAAAGGAGCCATCATGAGATAACATGAACTCTGTCTTAAACCAGCAGAATTTTTTTTAAAAAAATGGATAATAATCCTTTTTTTTCCACATTTTGAAACCTTTTGAAACAGAAGCAAAAGTAGCACAAGGGATCTGGAGAGCAAATGCTACAGCAAATGGAGTTGAGCCTTCAGCAAGATATAAAATGAGTGAGTTATCTCCAAAAAATACTCCACCACATGAGATAGATATAGTAGTAGGCATCCTTCAGTCTCGAAAGACTATGGTATCGTGCTCTGTATGGAGGACTTGGAACAGCGTCTAGTGTGGCTGAGGAGGCCAATTCGAGAGTGACAATCCCTTCCACACTGGAGACAAATCCAATCTGTCCCCTGTCCAGCTCCCTGGTTTTGCTTCGGTGAGTTATCTCCAAAAATACTCCACCACATGAGATAGATATGAGTGAGTTAGAAATATGCTCCTGTTTTCATCTATCAAATGTTCAGATAGATGCACTGCATTGCACAATATTAGGAATACTTGGGCATCAGCCAGGAATAGGAAGATAGGAAAGATTCCCACAGTAGTTAAGCTGTTCCCAGCATGGGAATCATTCCTGTTTGCCACATACATGTTACAGCACAGAAGCTTCTTTTTTTTTAAAGCTGACAACCCTAACTCAGCATGGACATGTCTAAAATACACAGTGATTCAAACTGGGACTTTGAAGAGTTAAACATTCAAAAGCCCTTGCTCAGGAAAAAAAACAAATGATTTCAGGTTTCTCTGACATGAGAATGATTTGGGTTGAAAGGGTTTGAGACCAAAAATGTGTATGAACAACCAAAGAGAAAAATAAAATCAAATTCTTCTTATCCTTCCTCAACTACTGTCACTATCCAGCAGGATTGGGATGCCCCCGAGAGCGTGGATCCGCTCATGGCTCATGTAACTGAGTTGCATCTCTAGATGGTATGAAAGAGCTGCTCTAGCTTGGTGGGTATGTCTAAAATACACAGTGATTCAAACTGGGACTTTGAAGAGTTAAACATTCAAAAGCCCTTGCTCAGGAAAAAAAAACAAATCATTTCAGGTTTCTCTGACATGAGAATGATTTGGGTTGAAAGAGATTGAGACCAAAAATGTGTATGAACAACCAAGGAGAAAAATAAAATAAAATTCTTCTTATCCTTCCTCAACTACTGTCACTATCCAGCAGGATTGGGATGCCCCCGAGAGCGTGGATCCGCTCATGGCTCATGTAACTGAGTTGCATCTCTAGACAGTATGAAAGAGCTGCTCTAGCTTGGTGGGTTGGAGCATCTCAGAGCCAGGAGTTTGACTCTCCACTGTGCTTGTCAGGAGAGAGGTCCACTCAGATCACTCCACATGTGTGCGGCTGATGAGAGATGTCATATCCTGCCACTTGGGCCACCTTGGGCAAGATGAATGGGTCCAGAGTGTCACCAGAAGGAGGATCTGGGAAACTTTATACCTAGAAGACTTTAGAAGGGTCAGAAATGACTTGCCAGCACATAATTATTATTAGACTATATGAATATAATGTACTCTAGCTGGGGCCAGAAAAGTGTCTAGGACATTTGTAGAAGAGTATCAGGAAACATACCCATTGGCAACTACCATGTGGGCTGGAGGCCGTTATCTGGGGCATGTGACTTTTGGAGCCGGTTATCTGGGGCGTGTGACTTTTC